GGCCAGGGTTGCATAACAACACCCCCCCCCCCCCCCCACACACACACACAAACACACAACCCCCATATTCTAGGTACCACCCATGTCCCCAACACCGCTTGGTGCTCAAGGTCACCCAGAGCCACCTGGCAAGCAAGCCAGCCTCTCAAGCAGTTCTCAGCGGCAGCAGCGGGCCCTGCCGACGGGTGTCCCGGGCCCTGCAGCCAATGTCAGCCAGCAGACAGGAGGGTGAGAACATCGGGCTGGGAGCCTGTGCACACGTGTCCTCCTCTGCCAGGTCACTCGCCGATGGGAGCGAGAATGGGAGCGGGGAGGCAGGCAGCGGAGGCCACGGCCCTGTAGACTCAGAATTCCACCGGGCAGGACTTAGCATCCTTCCAGGGAGCTGACCCCGTCAGACCAGGCTTCCTCTCCTCCTTCCCCCCAGCAAAGAGCCTCATACTGCTTGCACATTCTCTCCTTGCAGCCCAGGCCCTGGTGGGCCTCAGCGTGGGGAGCTCTCTGGGTCAGGACTGTCCATGTAGCCTCATGAGCCTAGGCAAGCCATGTAAGCCCCCAGGATTCATCTCCTCATCCATAAGACGGTTCAATACCACTTCTGCCTGGTTCAGAGCCCCGAGGTCAGGTGCCTGCTGGGAATTTTCTGGGAGGCCAGCCGGTAGGGAGGCATGTCCTATATTCAACACACCCATTGTTAAATGCCCTTCCCGCTCGCCCCTTCTAGCCTCTCCCCCTTTGCTTTTTCCAACACCAGCCCCTTCTCTGGGCATGAACACAGCATGTCTCGCCAAGAGAAACGAAAGGGGAAGAAAGGAAGAAAAGGAACGCTAACCCTCTGGAGCCCCTTGCATCTGTTGGCTTGGGGCTCTGAGAGTTGGCCACTCCTTGTCAGGTTAAATGCACCCCAGTCATGGACTCCAGAGCAGCCAATTCCTACAGTCACTGCTCCCTGAAAACATGCTTGTTGCCCGAGGAGCTCAGATCAAACATTCAGAAACAGGCTTCGCCCGGTGGACAGGGCTAGACGAAGACCTTGGTTGTTTTGGTGTCTGTGAAAACCAAAGACCCTGAAAACGAGGCCAGATTGCCCCTCGTGGGCACTGTGCTGCCAGCACCGTGGGGAGGTCCTTCAGAAGAAGCCACTGCCACTTGCCTTTGGGTAGCAGCTAAGGTGGGGTTAGGTCCAGGGCTGAAAGGATAAGAATAAAGACAAGTCATACAGCGTCTTCTGTGCTGGGCCCTAGGTGAGCCCCTGGATGCATCCTGTACGTTTCATCCTCCCCAATTCCTAAAGGGCCGGTATGGTTGGTACCCTGGTTCTCCCCATAGAGAAATAGAGGCTCAAGAGGTGAAGCAAGTAGCTCAAGAGGACTATCCAGCGAGCAAATAGCCGAGTTGAACTGGAGTCTGTTGCTTCCAGAACCTGCCCTGTGAACCTCATTCAGAACCTCCTCCTGGGAGGAAGGACCTAGAAATGAACTGTTGATTATCACTGGGACAGAGGGGAGGCCTCAGGAGTCCCTGCTTCAGTGGGGGAGGGGTGCCCGGCCAGTGTGGCTCAGTGGTTGAGCATTGAATTCTGGCTCGATTCCTTGTCAGGGCATGTGCCCAGATTGCGGGCTCCATTCCCAGTGTGGGGCGTGCAGGAGGCTGCCGACCAGTGATTCTCATCATGGATGTTTTCTGTTTCTCTCTCCCTCTCCCTTCCTCTCTGAAACCAATAAAAAAAATATATTTTAAAAAGTCTAAAATAAAACAAATGGCGGAGGGGTGGTGCTGGCAGGAGGAAGTCCTCCCGTCTTCCCCAGCCAGGCCAGACCTGGGGACCATGGGTGACCAGCTGGCCCAGTTTGTCCGTGACTTTCCCAGTTTCAGTTCTGCAAGTCCCCTGTCCTGGTTTGCCTGGGATGATTTGTCACTGTACCTGGGCCTTGGCCACCACTGGGCCAGCTGCAGAGAAGGACACAGTGAGGACACAGCCTGGGAGGCCTTTGCAATTACATTAGCTCCTAGCTGTCCTCCCCTCTGGTCCCTCCCTCCCTCCCCTCCTCCTTCCTGTGCTCCCTGGGTGATGGTGATTCAGCAGCAGGTCCGAAGCAGGCTAGACTAAGCAGGCAACCTATGTGGAGTGAAGTCACCAGCGGGCGGGGGCTGTGAGCACCAGCTCAGGGCAAGAATGGGAGCAAGGAGGGGAGGTGGGGGCAGTCAGGGGAGGTGGGGGCAGTCTTGACTTGTTCAGGAACTGGACCCCAACAGAGGGCTTGCTGTCCTTCCCCAGGCCAGGACTGGGTGCCCGGCAGGTAGCAGGAGCTAGGATTACCAGAGATGGGGAGCCCCCCTCCCCACCCATGCCCCAGGATGTGAGGCATGGGGGAGTCCCAGCCCCTGGATACCTAAGCTGCTTCTCAGCATACTCAGCAGCTAAAAATACGACATGGCTTTGCCAAAGGGTCCCACCCAGAAGCTGCCACGAGGCAGGAGGCCAGGTGCCGTGAAGGAAGCGTTCCTGTGCCTGCCATTCCCTCTGTTCAGCCACAGCCCCGCTGCCCACGGCCAGGACTCAGCCTCCACTCCACTAACTGTGCACTACCCAGGCCCCAGGGCCTTGCGTCCCCCTCCCTGCCCTGCCCCCGGGGCTCCAGGAGGTGGCAGTGTTTGCAGATTTGCCACGAGCCCTCCAAGGCCTACAGTCTCTGTGTCCAACCCCAGCCTCACCTACTCACTGTGAGACCTTGACCAAGTTGGATAGCTAGTCTGAGCTTTGCTCTCCTCACCTGTCAGAGGAGGCCCCACGCCCCCCGGAAGTGGTACAGAGGTCTTTGGTGGGAAGTGCTCTCTTCTGGTTGAAGGACAGGCCAGCAGGGCATTTGCCTGGAGCCTGGTTTGGCACTGGAGGCCGGTTTGGCGCTGCAGGCACATTGCTCTTGCTAAGCATCCATGTTGCTTAGGGGTGGCTGGGGTCTGATGCAGGCTGTGGTGGAGGCCCAGGGTGCCTCTAAGCATCTGCCTACCTGTCAGGGCTGTGGCAAAGGGGGTGGAGTCTGAGTCAGGTTCTCAGCCAACTCTGGCCCAGCCTCTGAACACCCTCTGCCTGGGGGAGGGGGAGCTGGTTGGAGATGCAGACAGGTTGGGGTGGGGCCCCACGCCTGAATTGGTAACCAGCTCCCCAGAGGGTCCCGCTGAGCATGGCCAGGCTGAGGCACCACTGGTCCTGGCACAGGGGATGCGCTCAACTTCTGTGAATTCTGCCCCTCTCCTCAGGGGCTCTCTTGTCACAGGATAATACCTGTCTGACTTTACCCTCCCCCCCGCCCCCCCCCACACACACATACACACACCCGCCACACACCACAGGGGGCTGTGGACAGGCTCAAAGAGAATCCTAGGCAGTTGGTGGCAGCCAGGGGATGGTCAGTGGGCCATGGTGATGCCAGGCCCAGAGGGCTTCTCATGCTGGACCCTGGGGGAATGGGGAGGGGTGGTGGTAAGGGGAGGGACAGAATTCACAGGAGCTGAGCCATCCATTCTCTCCCCTTCCCCGGGCCTCCGTCTGCAAAAAAGCCTGAGAAATGAATTCCTTCTCTGGGAGTGGCAAGTGTTCTGGGCAGGACGCAGCCACCAGACTGTGCTCCCCTTCCCTGGGAATCCTCCCCGCCATTGAGCTTCAAGGCACAGCCAGGCCCGGGCACCGTCTCTCCCTGCCTCCCTTCTGCCCCAAGGAGATGGAACCGCCAGGTGCAGGGAGGGGCACATGGGAGCTCTACCCTCCTGATCCTTTGGAGGCACAGATTCATCAGAGCCTCCTGCACCCCGTCCGCCCTGCAGTGTTCATTCCTGTGGGTGGGCTTGCAAACCACTGCCCTTCCCACTGGGTAGGGGGACTGTGGCAGTGGCTGAACCTCTGTTTCCTCATCTGTAAAATGGGGGCGATAAGCCCCCCTCCTTTAATGTGGACGTGAGGTTCGAAAGGCATGGACTTAGAATGGGGTTCTTAAGCAGGAGAGTGGGGTCGGGAGGATGGATCAGAAATGCCGGTTCCTGGGCCTCGGCCCCAGCATTCCAGTTCACTGAGTTCTGAGCCCAAACGTTAGGAAGCCTAGGACTGTAGGAGAGGGGAGCCCCTCACTTCGCTGTGCGGGCCAGTTACCTCGGAGCTTACCAAAGGGAGTCTGACCCTGCTGTCCATTTCCAGCAGGTGCACCTAGCTGGCCAGTTGGCTTAGACCAGAGCCTGGAATGGGCATTTTATTTGACTCATCCCAGCATTTTAGAAGCCTCTGGGGCTCCTCTGAGGATTGCAACTAGAAGAGGTGGTGGGAGGGGCCCGCTGGTGGGCGCCAGGCGGGGCGGGGGGGGGGGGGAGGGGCTGGGAAATAGCCTGATCCTGAGTCTGGGTCCGTTCCTGGCGGGAGCTTGGGTAGGGGCAGACCTTAATTATAGGATCACACAAATGCATATGACTTGGAGGCCAGTTTGGAGGGGCGGGGGGTACTGTTGAGGAAGATGCGCGTTAAGGGGGTGACTTACAGGTTGAGTGGGCATGAGCCAGCACGGCCAAGAATGAAGGGGGAAGCCCCGCTGGGGTGGGGAGCGGGCTGCCCAGCGGGCAGGGCCTGGGTCCTAGCAGCCAGCCCCCAGAGCCTGTCTGCCTGTTTACAAAGTGCGTGGGAGCCTTCCTCGTCCGCCCGCATCCGCGAGGAAGGGGGAAGGCACCCAGGAAGCGGCTGGAGCTGCCGATGGAGCCGCTCCCGTCGGGCGGCCGGGTGGGGCTGGGCGGGGTCGGTGCTGGCGGCGGGCGGAGCGGGGAGGAGCGGGGCGAACCCCGCCCGGAGGCCGGGCTGCGGGGCCGCGGGCGGCGCGGTGCGTGCGGCTGCGGAGCGGAGCGCGGCTCCGGCCGCGGGGTCACATGAGCCGCCGCGCGGGGACCCGCCGCAGCCGCAGCCCGGCAGCCCCGCTCCCGCACGCCCTAACCATGTCCATCTGCTGTTGCTTCTTTTTCAGGGACTATGGCAGCTCCAAGAGGAAGTCAGGTAAGGGACCCTCCGCGCGCCTTCCCCTCCGCCCCCCCTCCCGCCTCGCGCGCGCTCCTCTGCGACCCTGCGGCCCCCCAAGTACTTTCTTAGGGGATGGGGGTCCCTGCCCCCTGCCCTGCGGGGCTGCGGGGCTGGGTCCTCCCTTCTGGCCCCTAAGATCTCTGGTACTTGCCCCTTCTCCCCCACCCCACACCCCACACCCCGCACCCCGAGTCCCTCAGCTGTCCCTGTGGGGATGGAGAGGGTGCAGGGGGTGTGGGGGTGTCTCTTGAGGGGCCTGAGCCCCCACAACATTGACAGGTGATACCCCCCCCCCCCCCCCCGGCTGCGGTGCCCACTGCCGGGCACTGCTGGGACCGCTGCTTGGGTCCCGCCCGGGATGCGGGTGATGGGAAGGTTAACGGAGACGCAGGGTTTTCCCCGCGGGCATGTGGCATCCAGGGCTGGGAAGGGGCCGCACTTCACTGAGTTTTTCATGCCTGCTGCGCAGACTTCTTCCTCCTCTTCCTCCTCCCCCTCCTCTTCTTTTTCCTCCTCCTCCTCCTCCTCCTCCTCCTCCTCCCCCTTCCCTCCTCTTCTTTTTCCTCTTCCCCTTCCTCCTCCTCCTCCTCCTCCTCCTCCTCCTCCTCCTCCTCCTCCTCCGAGGGGGCCCAGAGGCCCTGGCCTTGGCCTGGCAGGTGCCAGGGCTCGCCCGAGTTTGCCAAGCGGGTGGAGACGGGGAGAGGCGGAGCCAGCCCTCCCGGGGGCGCAGTCCACCGGGGTCAGAGAAGGGTGCTCTCCGGGCGGGGCTGCGGGGCTGGGCGGATGCCTGGTGAGGGTGGGGTGTAGCTGGTTGGGGGAGGGTGGCCCCTAGGAGTTAGGGCTGTCTGTGTAGGGGGGCGGGGGAGTGGATGGATCCATGTGGGCATGTGTACGGCCTGTATTTATGGGGGTGGTGAGCTAGGGCGGTGAGCAGCCCTCTAAGGAGGTCTGGCCCTTGGGGGGTGCGGCCAGTGTGTGTAACCACGTGGCTCACGATAACGGTTCCTGAGGGAGGCATGTGTCTGGGTGCCCTGGCCTGTGGGTCTGCAGAGGGGTGTGTGTGTGCCTGTGTGTGATGGATGGGGTGGGGGGTGGGGGGCGGTGTGATGGCACAGTGTGTGTTTCAGAGAGTGGGTGTCTGTGTTTTAGGAGGAGTGTTTGCTCCTCCGTTTATTGGGATGTGGAAAGCTGTGCCCTGGTGGATGTACTGGGGAGCCTGTGTGCACGTGGGGTTGAGTGGGTCTCCATCGTTGTGTGCTGTGTATTGTGTGGGTGCACAGACATTGGGTTGTGGGCCAGTGTGTTGGGCTCTGGCTGTGGGTTGGAGCCTGTGTTCATGTGTTTGGTTCCCTGTTTTTTGGGGGGGATGTGGGATGAGATGTGTGTGCACGGCCCTGTCACCAGGGCAGGGGGTGTCTCTGGGGTGCCCGCCCGCTGAAGCAGAGGCCTTTCCTCTGTGACCAGGTGGGTAGGCCGCCTTACGACCCTGAGCAGTTGCAGTGTTGCCTCAGCTGTCACTTGTAGTCACAGCCCCGGAGAACGGGAAGGACCTGCAGACCTGGGGCTGTGCCTGGGACAGTCCCCTCCCCGGGCCTCAGACCACAGTGTCCTGGTTGGGCCTGGGCTCAGAATCTGGCAGGTGTGACCTTAGGCAAGTTTATAACTTCTGCTTCAGTGTCCTCATTTCCTTCAAAACAAAGACAATAATAGTATCTATCTCACACATAGCACATGATAACCACGATGGAAGTATTAGTTCCTCTCTCTCTCTCTTTTTTTAATTTTCCAATATATATTTTATCAATTTTTAAAAAATATATATTTTTATTGATTTTGTACAGAAAGGAAGGGAGAGAAATAGAGAGTTAGAAACATCGATGAGAGAGAAACATCGACCAGCTGCCTCCTGCACACCCCCTACTGGGGATGTACCCACAACCAATGTACATGCCCTGACCGGAATCGAACCTGGGACCTTTCAGTCCACAGACCGACGCTCTATCCACTGAGCCAAACCTGTTTCTGCAAGTATTAGTTTCTCATCATCGTCCTCCTCTCTGAAGCCATGGGGCCTTGGGTGATCCCTATTCAACGCTGGCCTCAGTGTCCCTTTGTGAAGCCAGGGGCTGGACCAGGTAACCCCTCAGTCCCCGCACCCCCAGCCTCTGAAGCTCGGGTTCTGTGCTGCTCCTTCAGCAATCAATGCAGGGCCCCGCCCAGGGGAAACCTCCCCCAGTTCCTCTGCCTTCCACTCTCAGGCCGGGAAGAGAACATGGCCGGGAAGAGAACGGATGGAGGAATTTAATTTATATTGGTGTGCTTAGGGTAATGGCCACTTAGAGTCCTGGTTAATGTGCCAGCTCTGGAGCAGAGCTTGGCTTTCCTCCTCGGAGACCTGGGGCAGGTATCTTCCCCTCTCTGTGCCTGTTCTCTCACCTATGAATTGGGGATAATATTTATACACATAATAAAATATATTCACACACATTGCAATGGTTCATTTTATTTAATTTTATGTGTCAACTTGGCTCAGCCATGGTAAAGCGTTATTCTGAATGCTTCTATGAAGGTAGGTGTTGAATGAGATTGACTTTTAGCTTTTAAATTGGGGGACTTTGAGCCCAGCCCGGTGTGGCTCAGTGGTTGAGCATCAGCCAGTCAACCAGGAGGTCATGGTTTGATTCCTGGACAGGGCTGATGCCTGGGTTGTGGACTTAGTCCCCTTGAGGGGCATGCAGAAAGCAGCCAATCGGTGTTTCTCTCCCATCATTGATGTTTCCATTGCTCTCTCTCTCCTTTCCTCTCTCTGAAATCAATGAAAACTTATAAATCAGTGGACTTAGAGATTTCCTTCTATAATGTGTGCTGGCCTCATCTGATCAGTTGAAGGCCTTACTAGAACAAGGACTGGCCTCCCCTGAGCAAGAAGTCATTCTGCCAGCAGACTGCCTTTGTACCTGAGCTGCAACTCTTCCCAAGTACTTAGCTTGCTGGCCTACCACATCAGATTGTGGACTCACCATGCCTCCACAATCATATGTTATATGCATACTCAGTTCTGTTTCTCTTAAGAAACCTAACACACACCCCGTATGGTTATAATGAAGATTATATATATATATATATATATATATATATATATATGCATATATATACACACTAGAGGCCCAGTGTACAAAATTCATGCATGGGTAGGGTTCCTAGACGTGGTCACCGATCAGGGCTGATCTGTGGGGTGACAGGCAGGGTCATCAGGGAGGCTACCCCTGATACCCTCCTTGGCTGGCCTGGCACTGCCTGCTCACCAGCCCCACCACTTGCCACCACCATTGCGAGCCCCTCCTCTCTTTGCATAGTAACGGGCAGGGCCATGTCCGTCCGTCCCCCCCCGCCCCCCCCACTGGCACCTGCCTTGGCTGGCTTGGGGCCTGCAAGCTGGGGGCAGCTCCTGCATTGAGTATCTGCCCCCTGGGGGTCAGTGCATGTCATAGCAACCAGCCCAGTGGTTCCTCTGGTCAATTTGCATATTAGGGTTTTATTTTTTATATATAAAATAAAACCCTAATATGCAAATTACATGATATGCAAATTTGCATAATATGCAAATTATGCTTAGAACATTGCCTGCAAACTGGAAAACTCAAAGTGCTAGCTAGCTCCTGTTATTATTTAATGAGCATTTACAGTGTGCAGGCAACTTTACAAATGTTTCCTCATTTGTTGCTCAGAGCCACACTGCATAGTGGTTGGATGGGTAGGATTCCCATTTTGCAAATGAGAAACTGAGGCTCTGAGAGGGTGGCTCAAAGTCTGTGGCAAAGTGAGGATTTGAGTCCAAGTTTAGGGTTCTACCCTGCTCTGTTGTGAAGCTTCCCAGGGTCATTGAGCGAGGGATGTTTGCACCAAGAACATGGATGCTGTCATCACTTTCACCCCAAAGCCCCAGCTCCTAGGCAGATCTCTAGGAGGGATCTCATTGAGCACAGATTTGAAGCCAGGTCTAGCGAGGGTGGAGTCTACAGGGAGAGAGTTCTGGACAGAACACAGCCTTAGGGGGGAGGCAGGACCAGTGACCTTGAAAACCGCCTCTGATTTCTGCTCCTTCCTGTGTCCTCCCCACCCCCATACACCCTGTTGCTCCAGCCCGACATCTAGAAGTCATCCTTGACTCCTCCCTTTCTCTCACCAGCCAACCTGACCTCCAGGTCCATTCAGTTCTCCCACCTCCACCACCAGCCCCTGTTGGAAAGCCTCTCATCTCTGCCTGCCAACCAGCTCCCTCCTTGGCCTCTGCTTCCACCCTTGTCCTTCCACCCTTTTATCCACACCACAGCTAGAGCGTGCGCTTCAGACCTACACCAACTAACGAGCTTTTCTGCTTAAATGCCACCAAAGCCCTTTCCATTTTAACCCAAGTAAACTCCTTATCCAGCCTACAGAATCCTGTGTGCCCCCCCCCCCCCCCCCCCCCGCTGCCATCCTGCCCTGGGCTCTGACCCTCTCCCCCTCTCCCCACCCCATTCCCACTCCAGCACTCTCTGCTCGGCCATACCTTAAATACATCGTTTGTTCTCTCCATGTGGCCTTTACATGTGCTGTTCCCTCTGCCTAAAGGCTGTTCCCACATGGCTTCCAGTCTTCCCAAGATTTCTGCTCACTTGTCACCTGGGAGAAGCTGCTCCCATCCTCCACTGCCTAACTGCCCCCTCAACTCACCCTGCTTCTCCCCAGCACCTCACTGAGCACACTCTAATTACCTCTTGGGTCTGCTTTCTTTCTTTCTTTTTTTCCCTTTATTTCTTTCCACCACCTTGAGAGTGAGGACCTTGCTGCAGGCCTCGCCCCAGCTCTGAGCCAGGTGCTGTGTCAGGTGTTGAGGTTACAGGAATGTGGCTGCCTGCCTTCGAGGGGTTTGCAGTCTTCTGTGCGTGGTGAGCTATGTTTACAAGAAGGTGCGTTAGTTGGAGGGATGGCAT